ACCGATCTCCTACCCGGGTGGGTGCTCAGCACCTCATGGGCTGTTCCCTTGGGACACCCCAGCATGCAGGGAGGTGGGACATGGGTGTTTCAGGTTGGTATTGGGTGCCACTGTCGCCACAGGCACATGGCAGTGTCTGCTCTAATGCCAGCACGCCGAGGTGGGTCTGTACCCTCGGCCCCCCAACAGCCCCCGACCCACCTTAACTGGGTGTTGCTGATTAAACCTCGGCACTAGCCTGACCAAACCACCGTGGCCACCAGCCCTGGCTTCCCTCCACATGGCATGGGCCACCCCTGCATTTGGGGCATGGCAACTGGGGGGGGGTCAGGAGCCTCTTTGGCACCAGAGTGTCCCAGGCTGAGCTGGGACTGGGCAAAGCCCCCCCAGCACCCCTCTATTGTCTCAGTTCCCCGGCTCAGCTGATGGAGCTGAGCATCTCTGGGCACCCACGGGGATGCCAGCCGTGCCTGGAGCTCTGGCCTGTGGCCGTGTCCCCTGACTGTGTCCCCAGCACCCCGCCGTGTCCCCTTTGTCCCCGGCTGCCGCAGGGGGGGTTGTCCCCGTGGGACTGGGAGGACCTGGGGGGGAGTCTGGCTGCCGGCCGACCCCGAGAGCTTCCCCGAAGCCTCCGGCCCCTGTGGCGGGTCTGGGGCCGCTCCGGGTCCCCTTTTGGCCCCGCTCCCCCCGGGTGTCTCCGGGATGCTCGGGCTCGCAGTGCCCTCTGGTGACCGCGGGCACTGTGGCCGGGAACCGCCACCCACGGGCGGGGGGACCCCGGGGGGGCTCGGGTGGGGGGAAAGCCACGTCCCTCAGAGAAGCAGAGCAGCGACTCGTCCTGTGGGACCTTCAGAGACCACCCGCTCCTACCTCTGCCCTGGGCAGAGACAATCCCGCCGGGCCAGGCTGCTCCAGCCCACTGGGGACCCCCAGCTCCTCCAGCTTCTCCCTGCCTCCCCTGTAACGTGTTTCCTCCTTATATCCAATCTAAATCCACCCTCTTCCAATTAAAATTGTCAACCCTTCTCCTGTCTCTACAAGTCCTGGCACAAAGCCTCTCTCCACTGCTATTCCAAGCCCCCTTAAATATTTCCAGGATGCCTGAAGGTCTTCTCCAGGCTGGACGGACCCAGCTCTCCCAGCCTTTCCCCACGGGAGAGTTTCTTCCAGCCCTCTGAGCATTCCTGTGTCCCTTGTGGACCCGCTGTGACTGATGCAGGTGTGCTCTGCACCAGACCCATCTGTCACCCCAGAACACCTCTGGGCTCCACGCAGGAGGGACCCCAGCTCCTCCTTCTTTTTTTTTTTTGGTGATCCTCCCTCCTCCTGCTGGGTCACCCCAAGGTTTCTCCTTTCTTGGGCAGCCACCATCCAGCAACTCGGGGACCCTGACACGTCCCTGGGACATCCACGCTGCCACAAAGTGTCCCTGTGGGGCGGCTCTGGGCACACTCCACCTGTGCCATGAGTGGGTGATGGCAAGGACAAGGATGCTCCAGGTTGGGCTGTGCCCAGGGGCAAAAACCCTGCTGGAAAGGCAAAATGGGGACTCGGGGGGGCTGGGACCTTGGAGGACTGATCAGAGGCTAGGGGTGCTCAGCTTCTCCCCATCCCACTGCCCGTGTCCCCTCCCCCCCCTCCCCCCCCCGGCTGCGTGGGGAGCTCTCCCGCCCAGCCGAGCACCTGTAGGAGATGAGGCTGTGGGAGGCACCCACCTCATCTTTAAAAAATAGCTCAGGAGCCTCATCTCAGCTCCCAGCCCTTCCCTGGGGACATGCAGGGAGAACCTGAGCCCCTCCCCATGGAACTCAGGTGCTGAACAGGCTCTGTCCCCTCTCAGTGTCCCTGAGCATGCAGACCCCCAGGCTGGTGCCCCTGGGAGTGGGAATGAGCCCTGGAGAGACTTGGGGAGCTGAGGGAAGCTGCCTGGAGGGAAACCACAGCTGAAAGTCCCCAAGGCAGGACAAGGGTCCCCGTGGCAAGGTGGGGGTCCCCTTTGTGAGATAGAGGTCCCCATGGCAAGGTGGGGATCCCTAAGGCAAGGGGAGGACCCACGTGTCAAAGTTTGCATCCTCATGCCAAGAAGAGGGGCCCAATAACAGGGCAGTGTTCTCCATGGCAAGGTGGAGGCCCACACTGGTGGCAGAAGCTTCCCATGGAAGGGTGAGGCTCCCAACAGCTGGATGAGGGTCCTCACGGCTGTTTGAGGGTCCCCACAGTACCGTGAGGGTCCTCGCGGTGAGATGAGGGTCCTCATGGTAAGATTAGGGTTCCCACAGCAGCTAATGGTCCCCACAGCAGTGTGATCATCCCCACGGCCACGTGAGGGTCCCCACAGAAACCTGAGAGTCCCCGTGTCCTCATCCACCCTCACCTGCACAACGGGCTGAAGGGGGGAGCCCCGGGGGGGGGTCAGACCTTTGACAGGGAAGAGCCAGGGGCTCTGAGCCCTGGAATCAGCACAAAGGGGGCTCTGTGAGCCGTACCGGGGAGGTGACCCCAGGCTGGACAGACCGCCCCTCTCCCCCCATGATCCCCCCCGTCCCCCACGCCCCCCCCCGGGCCCCTGCGCGTGCATCCTGCGGGGCGGCGAATGGAGCTGCCTATTGATTCGCAGCCCGGGCTAAAAATAACTTTCAACTCTTCATCCCGAGCTGTGAAAATCCCCCATTGCTAAGCGACGGGTTACCGGGAGACAGCGGCGCTAGGCGACGGCGGTTGCTGCGGTGACGGCCCCCCCCCCCCGCCCCCCGCCCCCCGGCGCACTGCGGTCCAGCCCTGGCCCCGGGGGCCCCACCGGACCGGGGATGCTCCACATGGACAGGGGATGCTCAGCCCGGGGTCCCATTGCCATGGGGACAGGCTGGGTGAGAGCCTCCAGCATCCCCGGGGTGGTGGGGATGGGAAGGTGGAGGAAGGTTGAGGGAGCCCTGTCACTTGGCTCTCGGCTTCTGGCCTGGCCTGAGTGGGGACACGTCAGTCAACACCCTCCTGGCACGCAGGAGGGACCATCCTGGGGAACAAGGAGGCTCAGGAGGCCTGTGATGGTGACACAGGGTGAAGTGGGGTGACCAGGCACCCCAGGGTGTGGGTGTGAGTACTCCTGGGCTGGTGGTACCCCAGCTGTGTCCCCTCCACTGGAGGTGTGTGCATGGAGACTTCCCATGCTCAGGGGCTCTTCCAGTCTCTTTACAGGCATGAAAATGTCCCCGGGATAAGGGGACATGACAATGTGTCCCTTCTTGGGCCTGAAGATGGCAGGGTCTAGTGACAATGGGGCTGTGCCAGGACCAAGGGGACAACAGGGACCATCTGGGGCTCCACTGCCTGCCTGTGCCTGCCACCCCTGCTGGCACTGGGCCTGCTCTGGGTACTGAGCATGTCCCCATGTGCTGGCCCACCACCACTGTTCCAGGGCTGCTGCTGGCTGGCAATTCCCTGGGAAAACCCCATGAGGACCAGGCATCACAGGGGCACAGGGCACTGCTGAGGGGACAAGGGACTGTGGGAGGAAGGACCACCAGTTCCTCCGTCTATGGGGATAAGATGGATGAGGCTGTGGATCTGCACATCCCTGCAGTCACTGGCCCCTCCAGCACCTTCTCCTGCATTTGACACCCTCTGGGCAAGGTGTGGTGAGGATGTGAGTGTGAATGAGTGTGAGTGTGAGTGAGTGTGTGTGCACAGTCTCCTCCCCCAAGCCCCCTCCCAGCTGCCAGTGCGAAACCCAACCTGCCTTATAAATTATGGAAGCAGGAGCCAGGCGCCGGATCCAGGCAGCTCCAGCAGCCTCCCCAGGGCCAGCCAGGCACAGCAGCCACCCTGGCCCTGCTGCTCACATGAGGCCATGCCAGGGGGAGGCAGAGGGGATAGGGTTAAATGTGGCAGCTGACCAGTTTCCCCCAGTTCGGGGAGCAGTGGTGAAGCTGGGCCCAGACTGGGGGTGCTGGGTGGGCGCTGAGTGAGGGTGATGGGACATGGGGGGCAGCAGTGGTGCACCCCCCAGCAGGTCCCACTGCCAGACATGGCTTGGGGAGGTGAATTTCCCCATCATGTGGGCACAGCACCCTGTCCTGGGTGCCTGCTGCACCCCGGGGTGCTGGGGCTGGGTGGAGCATCACCGCCGTGCCTCAGGGGCTGCCAGGAGGGTCTGAGCTGCCTGCCAGGGTGAGAGGGGTCTGCAGCAGGATCTGCACCAGAATCTCCAGCCTGCCAGTGCCCTGGAGGGGAGAGAGCCAAAGCAAGCATTCATCTCTCCACCCAGCCTTCCATCCCTCCATCCCTCCATTTCTCCCTCCATCCCTCCATCTCACCATTCTTCTCTCCCTTTCTTCATCCCTCCATCCTCCATTCTCCACCCCTCCATCCTTACACCTCTCCATCCCTCCATCTCACCCCTGTTCCCTCCCTTTCTCCATCCCTCCCTTTCTCCATCCCTCCCTCCTCTGCATCTCTCCATTCTTCCCTCCATCCCTCCATGTTTCCATCCATCCTTCCATCCCTGCCTTCATTTCTCCCCACAGCCCTCCCTGCATCTCTCCATCCTTCCCCTCATTTCTCCATCCCTCCTTCCATCCTTCCACCCCTCCATCTCTCCATCCCCCCTCCATCTTGCCATCCCCCCATCCCTCCCTCCATCCCCCATCCTTCCACCCCTGCATTCCCCCACCCACCACCCCTCTCTCCCTGCACACCCAGCTGCCAGCCCAGCCCTGCCCGCACCCCCCGCATCATTCCCTGTGTCCCGCACCCTCACCTCGCCTCTCCCGGTGCCAGTGCCGGCGCGATCCCATCGCGATCCATTATCGCTACGGGCGACCGTGTCCCTTTAACAGGCTCCACCGGTGACACGCGTGTGCGTGTGTGCAAACGCGCGTGTGCGTGTGCTCCCAGCTCCCTGGGCTGGCTGGCAGGAGGGACCCCCCTTCTCCATCCCCCCGGATCCGGATCCGGCCCCATTCCCCCCCTCCACTCCCCGCTTATTTTTCCTGTTGTTTCGCGGGGTTGGGGCGGGGGCCGGGCGGGATCCGGCCCCTTTACCAACGGGGATTTTTGGGGGGATTATTCCCGTTTTTCTTCCTGGTGGTTTTTTTTCCTGCAACCGAGAGAAGACGGGCACAAGGCATGGCATGAGCTTCGGGAGACGGGGCTGGAGGTAAGAGCCGCTCGGGAAAACCCTTGACAACACAAAGCCGGTGCCGGGGTTGGTGCCGATGCCGGTGCCGGTGTCGGTGCCCGTTCCACCGGTACCGGCACCAATCCCGGCACCGGCACCACAACCACCCCCAGCCGCATCCCGCATCATGGAGCCGCGTTATATAACGGCGGCGGAGCCGGCCCGGCCCCGGGGCTCCCGGTCCGGTGGCCCCCCCTCCGCCCCCGCCTCCCGGCAGCGCACCAGAGGATGGTGATCGGTGTGACCCCCTCGTGGTGCTGCCCTCTCGCCCCCCGCAGCCATCCCCCCGGTTTGGGGAGTGTGGGCGTGCTGGGGGAGGATAAGGTGGTGTGTTGTGTCCCCCCCAGCGTGGCCGGGCAGCACCGGGTGGGTACCGGCAGGGAGTGGGGGGGTCAGATGGGTACCGCGGGATGCAGGGATGTTTTGAGATGGGGGTGCAAAGGGACAGGGTTACCCGGGTGTGGGGTTGATGTTTGCCCTCCTCCACCTCTGCTGCCAACTTCCAAAATGCCCCTTGTGCTCCCTGGTGGAACCGTTGGCATCCCAGGGGGCTACACCCAACCCCCCACCCCGGCACCCCAACACCTTGGCGTGGCTTTCACTGGGTGCAGGGTGGCACCTGCCAGGGACAGGGGCACGGGGGCAGCCAACCCATCCTAGAGCTCAGGGCATGGAGGAAGGGGAAAGCCCTTGCTGGGATGGGGCTGAAGGGGCTGAGCCCCACTCTGGGGTCCCAGAGAACCCAGTGTGAGGTCAGGGACCCCCAAGCAGTCCAGGATGGGGATGAGAAGTTTGTTTTGGTGGGGCAGGGGATGCGAATGGGTGGAGGTGTCCATGTGGGGGCCAGGTGGGCAGGCTGAACCCCATGGAATGGCTGGGGCTAGACGTGAATGGGGGAAACTGAGGCACAGGGTTCTGGCAGCAATCAGAGACCCCCAAGGTTTTGATCATGTGGGGGCCCAGGGGTGCCATGGGGCACTGGGCTGAAGCAGCACTGCCTCTTGGGCATCTAGTGCCACTGGTGGGATGTGGCAGTGAAGGCCAAAGTGTGGCAGTCCCTGCAGCAGAGATGCTCCTGGCAGAGGTCCTGCTCCATAATCACCCTCTGCCCGAAGTACTGGGGGTCTCAGACACCCTCTGCAGCACCCAGAAGGTCTCAGCAGCAGCAGGGTGGGAGCAGCGGGCACAGAGACAGCGCCATGCCGTGCTGGCATCTCCCCTCCTCTGGAAGCTGGGTGCTGATTTCACTCTGGCTACCAGGAAGAGGGAGGGAGGTGGCTTTGGAGTGGGGAGGACTCGCTTGAGCATCCATTTTTAATGAGATAGATATCTATTTTTCCCCGAGCTGGCTTCCCCCACATCGATCTTTGCCTGCTCTCCTGCCTGTACCGGTGGCTCCATGGCAGTGGGAAGCAGCAGGACAAGCATCTCCAGCACTGGGACCCTCTTGTCTCCCCAAATCCTGCTCCAGGAGAGGGAGTGACCCTTACTTGGGCTGGGGTAAGGCAGGAGGGGGAAAGGGCCCCCTTGTCCCCTCCAGTGGAGTCACAATCATGTTGACTATCCCACGGGAATGTGGCTGTGCTCCAGGTAGAGGGGCAACTGGAAAAGGAGCACTTGGAGTTTGGGGGCTGGGTCGTGTCCTCCTGCTCTGCAGATTTAATCTGTGGCTGGCTGAGACTCTGGCAGCTCCGCGACAAAACCCCGTCGTCCTGCCTGTACCTCATCTCCCCTTCCCCAAACCACGACCCACTGCTCCCCACCTGTGTCTGCGAGGGTGAAACAGCACCCAGAGAGGAGGAAGGGTGTCTGAGAGGCGAGTGGGTGCCGATGGTGTGGGAGGGAGCGGGATGGGGTGCGCGGGCAAGCAGAGCTCCTCTGGCAGGATCCCACCCCCACCCAACCTCTGCCCACCTGCCACGGGGCCCAGCCATGTGTGCTGGGGGCTCAGGGCTGAAGGGAAGAGTGTTTGGGGAGGGGGCAGCTCAGCAGAAGCCACTTCTCTGGGGTTTGTCCCTCCTGGAGGTGTGACCTGTGCCCAGCTCCTGGATGGGGGAAGCAGAAGGCTGGGGGAGGCTGCGCTGGGAGCAGGATCGGTGCCTTTGCTTTCTGGAGTCATCCAACAGCTTTTTGGAGCCTGTGCTGGCATTTAACACCCACAGCCCCCTGCAGCGAGGAGTGCCATGGCTGAGCACTGCCTGCCTTCCCCAGTGTCCTACCAACCTGGTGCCCATGGCCCCCACCCCGCCCCAGCCCCACTCCTGGCTGGACCCCAAGCCCAGCAGCAAAGGGGCGTTGCTGCTTGCATGGCCATGGCTGTGTTTGGGGGAGGAAAGGGTTTGGAGAGGCTCGAGTCCCACCAGCACACGAGGAGCACATCTGTGTCCTGGGGACCAGGGGGCTCAGGGCCAGCCTTGGGCCACGCTCTCCTGGATCCTCTCTCCTTGTGGGATCTTGCATTTTTGTGAACCCCTTCCTGGGCCCAGGAGGGGGCAGAGAGAAGGGCTGTGACACGCTGGGTGCTGTTGCTGGGCTCTGGCTGGGCTTGCAGTGAGGGGAGGCCAGGCTGGGCAGGATCTGGCACACGAGGAGCTGTTCCCTCTTCTCCTTGCCTCGGTCAGTGGCGAGCAGGGAGAAGCTGGGTTGAGGCACGAGCATCCTCCCATGCTGGTGAGGGCTGGCATCTCTGGAGGTGGTTGGAGAGGAAGGGCCCAGGGATCCAACTCTGCCCTGATATGTCCACCCTGTGCTCTTTTGGGTGTGGGGTTCCTCCTGAGGGGACACTGAACTGCCTGGGAAAAGGAGTCTTTGTAAGATCTGAGGCTTATCACAGAGGGCAGATACTGCAGCCAGAGGAGACCCCACTGCTTGTTGTGAGGAAGTTTTGCTTGGCCATGCTGGGAGGCTGGAGCTCTGCCTCCTCCCTACAATTCCCCCATGCTGGGGGCTGGGGGGGACAGGAGCTGCATCTCTCAGTGCTCCTGGAGAGGAACCCTTCCCTCAGAGAAGCACAAAGTGATGGGCACCTGAGCAGAGCTTGGCTCTGGCACCACAGCCAGCTTTTCCCAGCTCCCTGGGCACGGGGCTGGCCCTGCAGAACCTGACCTTTCTCTGGGGGTTTTGCCATTTGGGAAGGCTGTGGGACCTGGGAGACAGCAGTGCTGGGGGGGTCCCTGTCGTGGCACCTCTGCTGCTTGGCCACGAGCTGCCTGAGACCCAACGATGGATTCACCAGCACACCCAGCACTGAGGACAGCAGCAGCTGCCAGCAATGGGACTCAAATCAGGTGTTTTCCCAGCCCCTCCTTAGCCTCTTTGTCCACTGTGAGGTGGGATGAGATCTTTGGGATCGCTGGAAGCCAACAAGGGAGCAGGAAAGCTGCTCTCAGCCCTCTGGTCTCCCGAGGAGCTCTCAGGGCCACCTCAGGAGGGAGTTTCCCAGCTCCCATCACACAAACAGCAGGTCTCTAGGGCCAGGTAGAGTGGTGAGACCCTTCCCTACGACGAATTCCCGGCTTGTGCAGCCAGGAAGAGGTAGCACTGAGTTTGGAGCTGCGTTCTGAACCTCTCTTCCAGCTCACTTGTGTGAGTGCTGAGCCCAGGAGCGCAGACCCACCTGTGCACACACCCCCTTCCCCCCCACAGGCACAACACCTCCCTACCCAAACACACCCATTGCTCCTCCATCTCCCGGGGGAGCCAGGAGCTCACCCAAGGTCTTTAGGGGCTCCTCTGCATTTCTGGGGTGATCCAAGCCCTCTGAGGGGTCCTGGTTTCAGAGGATTGTGGGTCCTACACCCCCCCTCAGGGCACGGGCAGCGTTGTGCCCCGATGGGATCAGAGCAGGAGGCAGCAGCACACCAGGGAGCGGGGCCGTGCAGGGAGAGCCTTGCAGCGGGATGTCTTTATTACTGCCATGTGCTCCGGTCGGCAGGTTCAGCCCCCCAGGCAAGAGCTGCCTGGCATTGCTGCTGGTCGGGGACATCCCGCGGAGCTGGGGGAGTCTCGGGAAGCTGATCCCCTCAGGAGTGCTGGACAAAAGCCCTCGGCTTCGTGCTCCGCCACGGCTCTCTGTCTCGGGTGTGTTTTCTCCGCCTGTAGAGCAACTTGATTTGCTGCATTAGTAAAAATAGACAGGCTAATGAATTCAGCTGATGCAACCCTGTGTGCGCGTGCACGCG